CTCGCGTCTGGTACATGTTGGTACCAGAGTGTTTGAGATTTGAAGACTCTGGTACTAACATGTACCAGAATTTATGATGAATTTAAGATGGACCATTATAAAATGGTAGCGGTTTGTTTCAAAAAATTTTAGATGAGATTTGCATAGATATAGATTATATTGTTGCATGCTAAGATCAGTCATAATGTAAACCTCTCAATTTTATTGTCGTGGGAAGTATCTCAATTCCTTCAAAAAAATTGAAAAACTATTTAATTTTAAAAATATAATACTTTTAATTAGTTAATTAATTGGAGATATTTTTAAAAAATCACTTTTGATAATACTTTTGAGAACTTTAATTAAAAAAATATATTCAAAAATATCCAGGATATCAAGAGTGAATTGTTCCTTATGAGGTATATAGTTATAATGTATACCTCATAAGGAACAATTCCCTCCTTAAAACGAGAAAACTTGTTCGAAATTGTTTATCATTTCGAACAAGTTTTCTCGTTTTTAATAACAAACTAAAGGCTATGAGGCACTGATTATATATTAGTGCCTCACAGCCTTTAGTTCCTAATAGATAGCTGGGAAACTTTCTCCAAATGATAAGTTATTCAGAGAAAGTTTCCCAGCTATCAAGAGGGAATTGTTCCTTATGAGGTATATAGTTATGATGTATACCTCATAAGGAACAATTCCCTCCTTAAAATCGTAGACATTTTTATACTTATTAATCAACCATTCAAAATCATATTCCTCTGAAAGTTATTTTATTAAAAATTTAGAATTTTAATAAATATAGAGTTTGAATTTCATACAATACCTATATATTTTCAATAATGGAATTTGAAAACCATTCTCAAAAGTTCTCAGAAAACCTTTTTTTCATTAATTTTAAGAAATCTGAGTATTAAATTAAGTGATAAATTCGTTTGACACTACTTTAATTTTTAAATTCAAAAAATTATATGTGCTTCTTAAAATGACTCAAAAAAATTTATTATAAAATAATATATAATATTAAAAATCCCACAACATTTTTTACTTTACATAATCGTACTTCCTCGACGATTAATTTCCACTCAATTTCTATCGTTGACCGAACTTAGCATGCAACAATATGATTTATACATATGAAAAATAATATATAAAAATATAATTTTGAGATAATTATGTAAATAATATTTTAAATATTTGAATTTGAGGTATAATTTTATAGTAAAATATATTATAAAGAGTATTTATATAAATATTGTAAAATAATATAAGTAATAAAAATTGAGACCCCCTCCCTGTTTTTGATGTTTTGTCACTTTTTCGGTAATTCTTATTGTTTCCACGAACTGCCCTTGAACTAATGTTTCACTACATTCGGCACAGTATGTAAAGAGCCTTCCTTTGTCTGATTGATTAGGCTCATTCTCATAATAGCCGATCGTAGTGAAACATTTTTTCCACACTTTGTTTCCAATGTTTCAGGAGTTGGTGGATATTTCGTCTTCTTAAATGGAATCCACTCATCATATACATGAGGATCCCATGCAGTCATAATAAAAATAAAGCTTTTTGAATATATTCAATTTTTAAATGATATTTTCACGGGTTAAATATAAAATAAAGAATAAGATGTAAATTATTAAAATATTTAATTTTAAATTTTGAACCCGTGATAAATATTTTTTTTGCATTGTTATTAATAATGAAAAATAAAGCTTATTTCAATGAAAATTGTTCTGCAAATTTATTTCACTTTTGACCTCACTTTTTCCGTAATTCAATTTTTTACTTTTAATATTTTAGATCTTCATAATATCATTTGAAAAATTAACCATATAAAAAAATCAAGTTATCAATTCACTTTTTCCGTAATTCAAAAATCAAAAATATAAATAATATATCTTTTTATCAAATATTATTATTATATTCTATGAAAAATGAGGTCCGGAAATTTTGCGGATTCCCGTAACTCAATTTTACGAAAAAGTGCAGTAAACTATTCAAAATACGAGAGAGGGTCAAAGTTGCTATTTGTCACTTTTCCACAAGAATATAATGGGGAAAAAGTTATCATATAGTTGATCTCATTCACTGAGGTGAGAGATGCATGTAGTGTAATGTTATAAACAGTGGGATTGCTGCTCTAAGTCCTAGGTTCGAGACACATTGGCTTCATTTTTCTCTTTTTTATTGACGTAAACTATTCAATTTTTGTGTTCTCCATTCAAATTTCAGAATTTTTTTTGCAGATTTCACGCTACATTCGAAGTTACCTTTTGTAACAACCACCACTGCCTACGAAAGACGAAAGTGTGTCACGATTTCACCCGGAAATCCGACGGTTGTTTAAGAGTAAGCACTTTTGGCACCTACTCTTCAAAATACGGGAAAATTGGTGTAAACTAATGATTTTACGGTAAAATCACGGAAAGTCCCGGAAGAATATATGTGCCTATATGAAATTATACAAAAATGAATCAAACGCATTTTAAAAGATTGTTCTTGTATTATAAATGCTATTCGCAGATTTATTAGTTGAAGAAAATTACCAAATTTTTGCCGATTTACAAAAAATGATTTACAAAGCATATTTTTATAAGGCTTAAAAACTCTTTAAAATGTGACCGGTGACGGAAATCCATGGTAACCAACCGCGGTTCCCGTTTGGAATGCCATATTATTAAGATTCTAAATACTCATACTATTCAAATCTAGATTTTTTCAAATCTCTATTTTTCATATCAAAATTGTTATTTTTTCTTTCAAATTTCAAATTTTGATTTTTTTTTGAAATTTTTATTCAATTTTATGTTTATTTTATCATATTCTTATTATATAGTATTCTTATTCATATTTATTGTTTTAATTTTTCAATGCATACGATAATTTCTTATTCAATTTTTAAACGAATGTTTTGATGGGACGAGCTTACTGAGCATAGGCTCATCCCATCAAAACATTCCTTTAAAAACTCTGGCCTTCATCGAGGCCAGAGTTCGCAATTCATCTCCTCAAAGCCAAGTTCCTCGACGGTCGTCCTCATTAGGCACGATCCGAGAGGAACTTGGCTTTGAATGAAAATTACAAGCTCTGGCCTCAGGAAAAGCCAGAGCTTCGCATACCATCCTCGGGGCCGGCTTCCTCAAAGACCGCCCTGATTCGGGGCGGCCGGAGAGGAATCCAGTCCCGAGAGAACGTCCCTACGAAGCTCTGGCCTTTCCCGAGGCCAGAGCTTGCAAGTACAATCCGCAGGGCCGATTTTGAGGGAGATCGTCCACGTCGTTGACGATCTCCTCTCATCTCGGCCCTGCAAGAAAGAAATATACAGGCTCTGGCCCTAGCAAAGGCCAGAGCTTCGCTTACATTCCCCAGGGCCGGTTTTCCCAAATGCCGTCCTGATCTAGGGCGGCAGGAGCGGAATCCAGCCCTGGGAACATCCAAATACGAAGCTCTGGCCCTAGCAAAGGCCAGGGCTTCGTTTTAAATCCACAGGGCCGGCTTCTCCAAATGCCGCCCTTATCCCGGGCGGCAGGAGAGGAATCCGGCCCTGGGAACATCCAAATACGAAGCTCTGGCCCTAGCAAAGGCCAGGGCTTCGCTTTAAATACTCAGGGCCGGCTTTCTCAAATGCCGTCCTGATCTAGGGCGGCAGGAGAGGAATCCGGCCCTGGGAACATCCAAACACGAAGCTCTGGCCCTAGCAAAGGCCAGGGCTTCGTTTTAAATCCACAGGGCCGGCTTCTCCAAATGCCGCCCTTATCCCGGGCGGCAGGAGAGGAATCCGGCCCTGGGAACATCCAAATACGAAGCTCTGGCCCTAGCAAAGGCCAGGGCTTCGCTTTAAATACTCAGGGCCGGCTTTCTCAAATGCCGTCCTGATCTAGGGCGGCAGGAGAGGAATCCGGCCCTGGGAACATCCAAACACGAAGCTCTGGCCCTAGCAAAGGCCAGGGCTTCGCTTTAAATACTCAGGGCCGGCTTTCTCAAATGCCGTCCTGATCTAGGGCGGCAGGAGAGGAATCCGGCCCTGGGAACATCCAAACACGAAGCTCTGGCCCTAGCAAAGGCCAGAGCCCGCACAATACATCCTCAGGGCCGATTTTGAGGGAGATCGTCCACATCATTGACGATCTCCTCTCATTTCGGCCCTGAAAGAAAGAAATACACAGGCTATGACCTCTGCTAAGGCCATAGCCCCGCTTACAATCTACTTTGCCGAATCTCAGGAGATCCTCCAAATCACGGCGCTTCTCCCTGAGATTCGGCAAAAGCATTTAAAATACAGCTCTAGAAAGCCAAGAAGGGGGTCCTGACCTCGAGAAAGGGCCCCCTTCTTGGCCTTTCTGAGGAACTTTGGTTCGCATTGCGGGCGTCTGCTGCTTCTTTGGACTGGAGCAGCAGACACTCGCAATTTTGAATCATCGCAAGTGCATTTGTGATTGGAGAATGCACTTGCGATGACTTTGGTGCAATTTCGAGAGAATTCTCTATTGATCATGATAAGTGCACTATAGCATCATATGTGCACTTACCATGATCAATAGACTTATTCTCTCGCTGCATTCGCCGAAAGAACAAGAAGACATTCGCAATCACATCTCAACTTGAATAAAACTCTAATATTTCTTTATAATAGTACTCTACTCATTCATAAACTCACCAATAATATATCGTGACACAATTTTTATATTCATATTTCGATATTTGAATTAGTTATATAAGATGTCATACTATAAGTTGTGAGATATTCATATATTATATATATAATATTGTTATATAAAGGCTATATAATATGCGCATAAGAATATTTGATCTAAATATTGACTTTTGATAAATTTATAATGTGAATAACTTGGGTCCAAAAATATTTTCCATTCATTGCTACACTTTTAGATGCGCACATATATAGCGCATCTGCCCCTAAAAGATCAGGTCTGAATATCAACCTTTGCCACTGCATACTGTTCAAAAGGACGATCGTGGTATGGGAAAAATTCACCTCACATGGTATCGTCTCAAAAGTTTTCATAAGTAAATTTTTCTTTTAACTCTCTAAATAATTCGGGTGTTAATGGTTTAGAATGCCATTTATAATTAACCCTAAAGCAGAACATGTATTTATTTTCTGCAGACGTTTGACCTAAATATTCTTCAATCCATTCTTTCAATAAAGGAAATATTGTCTTCCTCCCCGTTGATGTTAAATCTCTTAACTCCAAAACGTTTTCATAAGGATTTCGCATAAACACATCCCACTTATCATACGATAACGTTTTTTGGTTATCGTCTGAATTTAACGCTTTCCACTGTTTATAATTTCTTACATCAATTTTATTTTCCTCCTTAGGTTCTAATTTTTCCATAAATTCCGCACCTTCGTTATAAAACGATTGTAGATAATGTTTATAATCTATCCTATAATCAACCTCTTTCTTTAATTCCTCTTTTAATCTATTCTTTAACTCCCTATTTTCTTTTTTCAATTTATCGTTTTCGACTCTCAATCTCAGTAGTTCGCTATCGTCCTTAACCCTCTTCACATTCTTCACATAGTTTAAATATTTGAAATCGTCGGCACTTTTTGGTTTTACTTCCTCCCTTTCTGGTGGAGGTGGTGGTTCTGGAATAAATCCCGCTTCTGGTAAGTAATAACCCAAAAACTTTTTAACCGTGAATGTTGTATCATCCTCCCCATGTTTATCCTTCACTTCTAGCACATAATCCCACATGTCCTCATAATCATTCTCGAAATTCTCAAAATCAGGAATATATTTTTGCAATTCTTCCTCCGAAAGTTCGAAAATGTTTTTGTTCAAAATTTCAGCAGGTATATTTTCCATATCTTTTATGTAGAAAATAAAAAATCAAATTAATGAAAAATAAAATTTTTATTTTCTGTAAAATGAGCGGAAGACCTCGAAAATATAAAACTGATGAAGAACGTAAAGCAGCAAAAAATAAACAATCTCACGAAAGCTATTTAAGAAATAAAGAAGTTTATAATAAAGGTAATTTAATTAGGTATTACAAAAAGAAACTTGAAAAAGAAAATGACGAGGAAGTAAGGGAAAAAATAATGATGAAAATTAAGTCGCTTAGCGACGAGATGATCCGTAGGATCTCATGAAAACATAGAAAGCTATCAGTGAAAACATCAGACCCTCAAGGTCTCGCCGCTTAGCGGCTAGGTGAGAAATCGGGTGAGATCTCACCTAAGCCACAAAGTGGCTCATGACCCCGTAGGGGTCTTTTAAAAATTTACGCCTTTCGTTAACGAAAACATTACCTTTAAAAACTAACCTTAAGCCGTTTGTCCTAAAAAACTAACCTTAATTTATTTTTTATTTATTTTTTTATTTTATATATGTGTACGTGAAAAGTAAATGTTAAAATTTATGATTTCACTACTTAATAAATTGCCGTGGCTGCGTCATTTCTGTGAAAAATTCATGTAAGGAATTCGTGAATTTTCAGAAGTGGCTTAGTAGTTATTTTTCGTTTCTGGGCGCAGCCAGGGCAATTTATATATGTAGTAATTGAATGTTGAAATTTTTTTATAAGAGATGACGTAAGGTCTGGTTGAAAACTCGTACATTAAAAAAAAACTCGTACATGCCTCAAAAATTGAATACTTTTCAATATACTTTCTCAATCCTATCGTCAAAAATCTGTCATCCTATCGTTCACTTTACAAAACCTATTGTTCACTTTACGCAACCTATCGTCGAAAATCTGTCATTCCTCTCAATTTTTGAGGCATGTACGAGTTTTTTTGAAGCCCTCCATTTTTCAACCCAACCTTATATCATTTTGCAACTATGAAAATTATTTAAATGATTATGTAACTGATTGCCTTGTTGAGAGCAAAAGTGATTCAATTTGTTAAAAAGTGAATTGATCAGCTCAAATTCGGTGAAGTGAAGTAACATATTTTTCTTGCTCACAATTTATATCTCAAAAAAAGTTGGTGAAGTGAATAAAAGTTAGAGTGAATAAGGTCTGATTGAGGGAGAAAAAAAAACTCATAGTTGACTCAAATATTGAATACTTTTCAATGGACTTCTAAATTCTTCATAAATCTGCCATTTTATCGTCCATTTTTCGAAATATATCGTCTAATTTCTGCTATTCAATCGTCGAAAATACATCATTCCTTTCAATTTTTGAGGCATGCTGGTTTTTTTACAGCCACCCATATTTCAACCGGAGTTTGATTGCATTTAACATTCCACGGTCCGGCCAAATGAAATCATAGATATCTACATCATATTTATATTCTGTTTAGATTTTGTCAACGAATAAGCTCCAATAAATTGATTCAAGTTAAAGACGATAACAATTATTCACATTTTTTCTTTCAAGATAAAGATGATAACAATAATGTACGGTGGACCCTTAACTTACATATGATAATATGATACAGCACAACTCAAGGTTTGCGGTCAGTTAAGAAAATAGAATTAAAAATGTTTTTATAATAGTATTGACCTCATTTCTGGAAGCTTTAAAACATTTGAATCAAAAATAATCGTATTCAAGAGATTTTTTTCTTGGCAGAATTTTGAAGTAGTTTTAATAAATGATTGAACAAAACATTGCACTTCTTGAAAGTGGCGAACTCCTTACTAAAAACGAATCAGTTATATTTGATAAAATCAGATCTGCAGGTGATCATTTCGGAAATAAGGTTGTTTGCCGCGTTGCAGGAGGCTGGGTACGAGATAAACTGCTTAATAAGGAATGTGATGACATAGATATCTGTGTTGAAGGCTGTACATCTGAAGAATTCGCTTTGCAACTTGCAGAACAATATCCGAAAAAAGCAACAAAGATAGTCGTATTCGAAGAGAATCCTAAACAAGCCAAATTCATGAAAACTGTTCGAGTTTGTATATATGGATCTGCATGGATCGATATTTGCAATCTAAGAGGAGAAAATTTGGTTGCAACCGCTTTAACTGACGCTCAACATCGTGACCTATCTATTAATGCTCTATTTTACAATATTACAGATTCTAAAGTCGAAGATTTCGTTGGCGGAATCCAAGATCTTAAAAATCAAGTTATTAGAACGCCAATATCTCCAGATGTTACATTTACAGAGGATCCTCTTAGAATTATAAGATCAATTAGATTCCATGTTCGCTATGGATACAAAATTGATGAAAATTTACTTGAAATTGCCAAATTACACCTTTCTGATTTCGAACAAAGGGTTTCCAAAGAAAGAATTGCATCAGAGATCATCAAAATCATAAGGATGGACGGATTTATTGAGTTTGTTGACTTAATAATCAAAATCGGCTTTTTTGAAACAATTTTTGACCCTTTCCACAGATATTCCATAGACCCATTACAAGCACGAGAGAGACTTTCAATCGTAACTCAACGTTCTCCTAAAGAATTTGTTATTCCAATTCAATTAGGTGCAATCTTGTTTCCAATCTACAACGAAGAACCAGTACCAGATCCAGAACATCCAAAGACAAAAATACCGCCAATAGAATGTACAATTTGCAGATATTTGAAATTTCTAACAAAATATGCTCACGAAGCTAATATTTTAGTTAAAGGAGCTTTGAGAGCTAACACAATTAAACTCGACAGAAGAATTGTTGGTCACTGGATAAGAGAAATAGGTCCAATTTGGCCTTTTATTAAGTTTTTAATTTTTGATCAGGCAGAATATGAAAAATGTGAGAATGTGTTATATAACTTCATCAGAGAACAAGGTCTTGCAACATGTTACGACATGAAATGCTTGATTAATGGAAAAGATTTGGCAAATTTACTCGGTGTTAAACTTGGAAAAGGATTTCAGACACATGTTGATGATTTGATAGATTGGCAGCTTGGAAATCCTAATGGAACTCGTGAAGACTACATAGAATTTATTAAAAATAAAAAATTTAATTGTTTGTTTGAATAAATAAAGAAATTGTTTAAAAAATGTATCTTTTAAGGATGCACTTTCTGACTTGCTCCCATAATATCAATATATTTTTATTGCAAAAAAGTATAACAGTAATATAAGGTACTAAGTAGTGATTTAAAATAGTTTCTTCCCGAACAAAGTTAATGACCTTTTACCATAGAAAAAATGGATAAAAAACTAGAATGTCAAAAAATTGAGAGAATGTCAGAAAGTGGTAAGTGTATCGGTAATATTTTGGTGTGATAATTGATTTCAATTAGATGATCTTCATGAAAAAATTAAACTTACAACAGCTCATTTTAATAAGAATTCTCTTCCTTATTGATCATTTGTCTCTCAAGAAATTCAGAGAAATAGGAGTGAAAAAAACTAAGCTGCATATCTGAAGAATTATTTTCACAACTCTAAGAGCAAAATCATAATTACTAATGCTTGGTAAGTTGATACTTAGACATTGGAAGAATTACATAGTATATATTTGTCATCATAGCAACAAGTGCACTTATTTTAGGACTTTAAATTCCTTTTTCCTGTGTAATAGCATTGCTTTCTTTTTATTAAAATAAATTCTAAATATGCCTCTATATTTGTAAAAATATATATTGTAATAGACAGTTTCCTCTTAAGCTCTTCAGATATAATGATAGCGGGATCCAAAGTCTTATAAAAATTAAGTTTTATCAGAACAACAAGAATAAAGTTTAAATTTTATATAAAAAAATAAACAACACAATAAAAAATAAAAAAACATAATATATAAATATTAATCTTTTGGTAAGAAATCAGAGAAATCAGACCAGTAACTGAATGCGTCGACCAAACTCTGTGTCAAAGGACCAGTAGTGAAATCGAGTGCCAAACTCTTTGATTGGTCAGCAGCTAAAGGAGCGAAATCAACAACTAAAGGAGGAGGTAAATCTCCGAAAACTCTCTTCTTAAACTTGAACTTCCTTGGAATAACATTTCCACTTGATTTTGCTGGAGGAACAGTCTGAACAGTTGCTTTTGGTTGCGCAATAACCATTGCTTCTGGTTCCTTCTCGAACTGACCAATGACAGGCCATTTTTGTGTCAAAGGAATCACAGAACTAAAATACCTTTTCTGGTAACCATTTAACTCATCAATTCCTTCCATATTCTGCAGCAAAATATTAACTAAAGGTGATGTCAATCCATACATTTCATGGCCATCAATATAAGTAACAGGTTGGCCACAAAATCTCTGTAGTTGAAGCCTGTATTGGTTGAAAACATCATCTGGATCTTTTCCTTCAATTTTGCTGTTTGGATCCGAATCCGGCCAAATAACGAAATTCAATTTTTCATCGTTCAATTCAATTTTACAATACATCCACACTTTTGTGTCTTTGTGAATTAGACTGTAAGATTGGACGGAAACATGGTAATCAATGGGATAAACGTATTTGTCGTTGAAGAATCTTTTATCAATTTTTCCAATGTTTCTAAGCATCATCATGTCGTTGATTCTCAGTGGCATTTTCTCCTTGAAATCTTCAGGAATTCGCTGAATAACTTTCGTCCTTTTCGTCTCTTCAAATATCAGTTTAACCCTGTTATAAAGTTTTGCTTCTGTTGGCTGTCCTCTACAAGCACAAAGTAAAACAGGAGAATTGAGCCATAATCCTAATCCATGTGAAGAAACAGCTGTCAGAAACTCGATGTCTTCTGCTGAATATTCATCGAATTTTGTGGAACACTCGCGAACTTTTTCAAATAATTTGACACGTAAAGGAATTTTCTGACTGTGATATTTGACAATTCTTTTGACAAAATTGTCAGAAAATTTCTTTTTATCATCAGAACTTGTTTGGCAAAATCCGATGATGTTATCCACGTAGTTTTGCACTGATTCAGGGCTGTACATCATTAAACCAGCCGCTTGCATGAATTTTTCCAAAGAAGGAAAACCGTATGACATCAAAGTATTTAGAACTTTGTCGTGAGAAGAAGAATCAAACTTAGTTTTGCAACTTCTCAATGAAATTAATGTGGATGTCTTTTTATCGGTTTTGTCACTTTTTACGGGCTTATTTTTAGCAATTTGGATTAAATTTCTTATGTATTTTTGGTCCTCTTCTGACAAAGAATTTAATCCATCTTCCCATGCAGAAAAGAGTAATTTTTTAACATCATCAATTTTCCTATTATCTAAATCATTTTCAAAAAGTGACAGATCTATATCGTCGGGTGAAGTGACGGTTTTTTCACCGATAAGACGATAGAAAAATCTTTTATTTTCTACGTCTCCTAAGAGTGGTTCTACTTTAGCTGTTGCAAAAACTGATGGCCATGCAGCCAAAGACGTTAATAAACGTTTTTGATCAAATTTATTATTTTCTTTGATCAAAATCAAAACATTTGGATAAATTTTGTCACCTTCTTCCACTGTTTTTAATAAATGCTTCAAGAAGAGAACACCGAGCTTTTGGAGATCACCTTCTGGGCGTCCGAATTCTTGGAATTTCTCCCATCTGCCCCATCCATATAAATTGAATAGTTGTAAATATCTTTGTAACCTTGGTTCTGTCCAAAACTGTGCTGGCGTGAGGGGCCTCGACTGCCTGGGCGCGTGTATCGAGAGATGCTTCTCAGGCATAGTCCAGTATTCATCTAAAAATGGTTCGGAATTCTGAGGAAAAGCGGTTTTGTCAGAATATTGTAAAACTCTGATTTCTTTAAACAGCATCCTCGGCATCTGATGGACAACGTCTAAATGCTTGTATGCAAGTCTGTAGCAGTCTTTGATTAGGTTAAATAATTCGGTTTTGTCACTTTTTTCAGGAATTTCGAAATTTGACGGTTTTTTATCACGATTATTCCAGAAAAATGCGAAAGATACGTATTCAAAGGAATCAGACGTGATGAGTCTGTATATCTGTGCCTTGGAATTCCTCGCGTGCCACTTGACAATGAGTTTTCCGTCTTCAATCGGTGTCCAATCAGTATCAAACGCGAAAACTGTCTCCCCGTTGAATTTCTCGAGACAGAGGGACGCGTAGTTGGCAGGAACAATGATAACTCGGTGTCCTTGTTGATGATTAAAATCATCAATTAAAATATTCGCTTCGTTTTCCGTGGAATTGGCTTCTATCTGCGTGTAGATGGTCTTACACTCGGTCATGATGGTGTGTAGAGCTGTAACCATGTTAGAATTGCAGAAAATTGCCACTTTTTTGCCGTCATTTCGTTGAATTGAAAGTAATTTCGACAAAACAGGGACTTTTCCGGATGCTGTCATGATGTCGCATGGAGTATCGGTCGCAAGGAAAGGATGTGATGACAATGCACGTAGTTTTGAGGCAAATTCGCAAAGATCTTTGATATCTGCATTTTCTGATCGAATTTTTTCGGAAGATTCCTGTAGTAATTCGATATACATTGCCTGTTGAAGAGCTGCCATGGGACAAGGAGTGAAATTCTCCTCAAATAAGTAATCATCGGCCGCATCTTCTGGTTTTATGATAAAAACGGTTGATGGATCAACAGCAGCATCAGGAGGTACTTCTAGGAAAGTTTCGAGTGATGGATATTCGTCAAAGAACTCAGTTCCAACAAAAGTTTTATGAAAAGCAAATAATCCGTCCAAAGGCATTTTTGGAGAAGGATCGTCAGCAATAACTGATGCCCATTGACGGTAAGGTATAATTGTCCTGTCATTTATAAACTGTTCGTAGTTTGTGATAACTATTCCGTAATCTGAGGTTGGATTCACATCTAGTAGTAACTGCTGGTCTGTTATAGTATCTCTTTCAGATTGGTCACTCGTGCAAACAGATATTGATTGAGATGTCCAATATTTTAATTGTTCTACCCAAACAGAAATCTCTTTTGGCTGCGCTATTAACAAAAATGGAGGGCACTTGCTGTATGCTGATCGAATTTTCTCGATAAAAATGCTTACTGCTGCGTATTTGATTGATTTTGTCTCATCTATTAAAACACAATTAGTTCCTTGCAACCATTTACTGCAAAGAAATGCAGATGATGATTTTGAGATATTTGCTGCTATATTTTCTGCTTTTGTCGTTGGTAATTTTAATTGTTTTGGCGGGTATTGAAAAACATGATCTAATTTCAAAGAAACATGCGTGCTTAGCTTCTTGTGAGGTGGATCTGGTTTAACAGGTTGCATTGGCGTCTTAAGAAAGATTCTTGTGTTGGAGGCTTCAGATTGCGCTCTTTGAGCAGCACGCCTCGGTGAACCTCTTACACCAGGCCTCTGCTCGACTTCCCTTGATGATTCAGTCCCTTCCTCAATCGCTGTCCGGCGGCGACTTCTCATCTTGGAAAAGCTAATATTTTTGTCACTTTTTTATAAATTTGAAGTTGCTTGATTGTTTTAATCATATGAAATTATCATTTTTAGAAATGATGTAAGGGTGTATAGCATTTTCAACCAATAAAATCCTTGTTTTGCATAAAAAGCATTCAGGAAATCAATGTTTCAGCACATCCACTCTTTATCCCAAAACAAAACATTAAAAAGAAAGAAATAACACATATAAATGACAAAAGAAAGAAAATGAAAAAGAAATCTGTAAAAGATCTCTTTCGAGTGGAACAGATTATGAGCATAGTAGAAAATATCATAACAGTTAGAGATATGTGAAATAAGATGCCCTTACCACGTAAACTATTAAAATGCGTTTTGAAACGTCATTGAAAATTAACAATAGGTAATTCCATATGTATAACTTTCTTGGCATGAAATAAGTATATATTCATTAGCAAAATTGCAAGACGATTTTGAAAATCCGATTCCCTTTATTTGTACGACTTTTTTTTTTAATTTTACAAAATAACTCACTTAAGGACTGGGTTTGTTCTTAATTATGAGTACATTGCCAACCACATCAATGATTATATTCAAGATGACAAATTATTCGATATTTTTGAAATAGAAGACTTAAAATTAATCTTACAATCTTCAAATTTGCATTCATATGACTTTATCCAGATTCTCAAACAGTCTCCTAATACATTAAAAGCAAATGAATTATATGAGTGCGCCTGCAATACAAAACTTGTAATAAATAATCTTGAAGAAGTAATTTCAGCATTGAAATCAGTTAGAAAATATATGGATATAGGTCTGTTAGATGGTATAATCAATGTTTTAACACAAATTTACACAGAATTTTTGGGTTCAAGAATCAATAGGAGCAATGAAGAAGATTTTATTGAAAGAAATCAATACTGTACTGATAATGAAATTAGTGTTTCATCTTATAGTCCAGGAATCCGTTCAAATTCAGATCCATTCGTAGTAATATCCAACAAACCAACAAACTCATCTAATTCAACAGATTTTAGTGCTCAACAAGATTCATCTGCAGATCCATTTGCATCACCATTCAACACTCATGAAGATACATTTACAGCATCATCCAACACTCATGAAGATCCATTTGCATCATCATCCAATGCTCGAGAAGATCCATTTGCATCATCATCCAACACTCGTGAAGATCCATTTGCATCATCATCCAACATTCAACAAAAACCATTCAGACGTGATCCGTTTGCAGCACCTTCTAATAAACCAAAAGACTCATCTAAACCAACTGAATTTAGTACTCAACAAGACCCATTTGCTGATCCATTTAGACCCTCATTTAACAAACCAACAAACTCACCTAATTCATCAGCTTCTAACACTCAACAACATCCATTAAGACGTAATCCGTACGATACACCATCGAACCATCTAACAAACTCATCTAATTCAAATGATTACGGATCTAGTCTCTTTTTAGAATTTTAAAAATTGATAAAATTTTAAAATATTTTGATAATTAAATTATTTTTAATAAAAAAAGAGAAATCACAGTGAAAGAATAAATAATATAAATAAATAATAAAATAATATATAGCGAAATAAACTTATTTGATACTTCTCATGTTATTGAACAGAACTTCTGGATCATACTTCTGTCTGCACTCATTCTCAATGTCAGCATTTGAAGGTTCAGCAACATCATCAAATACCATTGATCTCCAACTCAAAGCTGCCCTTTCTTCATCAGTAAGTTTAGTTGTTGTGGGGATAGCAAGTGATAGATCTAATTGCTGACCTGGAGGCGCAAATGGCATTCCAATTTGTGGCTGTCCTCCAGCGAGAGGAGAAACAGGAGCATTCGGGAATGATGGAAATCCCGGAGAACTCGTGCTGACTCCAGGGAATCCAAGTGGTGGTGAATTGCTGACTCCGACGTTGGGGAAAATTGGAGAAGACTGCATCGCCTGTTGGTTCTGTCCGCTGAGAGATTGAGGAAGGCCTGGTTGAGGTGAATTTGGCCTTCCTTGCTGTGGGAATCCAATTGCTGCTGATGGGAATGGAGGTGGTTTGGATGCTTGAGGTGGTACAGGGAAAGAAGGTGATGGTGTTGTGGATGGATCTGGTTGAAAGAGAGGTAATTCTGATGAAGCATCATCATCCTTTGATCCAGGTAATTTCGTTGGGAGTGGTGCTGCTGATGAGTTGATTGCAGCTGAAGGGAATGGAGGAGCTGCATTTGATGACTCATTAGCCAAAGGTGCTGCAGGGAATGCAGGTGTTGCGGAAGAAGCTGGTGGTTGTGGGTATGGAGGAACTGATGAATTTGGATTTCCTGGGTATGGAGGGATTTGTGATGATTTCGGCGGTGCAGGGAATGGAAGAACTGTTTGATTCGATCCTGGAGCAGCTGGAAACTGAGAAGCAGAAGAGTTAGAACCTGGTGCACCAGAGAATGGAGGAATTACCTTTGTTTCTGTTTGCTTTGGCTCAGGTTTTTGTTCTGGTTTTGGCTCTGGTTTAGGAGCAGCAGAATTAGAACCTGGTGCAGCAAATAGAGGAAGAGTAGCATTTGATCCTGGAGCAGCAGCTGGGAATGGAGGAATTGCTGGTGTTTCAGGAAGTTTTGGTTCAGGCTTTGACTCTTGTTTTGGTTCAGGTTTAGGAGGAACAATTGGAGAAGGTGTTGGTTCTTCTTCTTTCTTTGGTTTATCTTCTTCTTTGATCATTGAACTTGATCTCGATTTCCTTCCCTTCTTTTCTGTTTTCTTTTCTTCTGATTGCTCTGTATCACTGTAGTAGTAATATGAGTAATATGAGTAATCATCACTGTAGTACTCAGTGTCACTTTCTTCCTTCTTCTTGATTAGATCCATGAGAGAAGGAGCGACCTTTTCCTCTTTGGGTTGGGCTGGTTTATCTTCTTTTGGTGTCATGTTCAATTGAGAGAAGTCCAATGCAATGCTTGGCATGGCCGGCCTGTTTACTGGACCTCTGGCTTGTGGAGATAATACATCTGATGGAAGAGGAATTTGGAGAGGAGGTGGAGCAATTTCAGGTGGTTTCTGTGGATTTGAACTGGGTAATGGAGGAGGACTAGTAATCGATCCTGGTAATGGAGGCATTTCACTATTGGATGAAGCAGGTAATGGAGGTGGAGCGGCAACTCCTGGGAATGGAGGCATTGTACCACTGGATGAGCTTGGAATTGGTGGTTGAGGTTTGATTCCAGGAAATGGAGGAATTCCACCACTGGAAGAGCCAGGTAATGGAGGTTGCGAAGAACTGCTTCCTGGGAATGGAGGAATTGTACCACTAGAAGAACCAGAAACAGTTGATTGTGGTTTGATTCCAGGGAATGGAGGAATTTCACCACTGGATGAACCTGGCATTGGAGGTGGATTTGGCTTTACAGGATAAAACGGAGGAATTGAAGGAGCTGTAGATGCTGGAGGGGTATTTGGTTTAATTCCTGGAAACGGTGGGATTTCTCCGCTGGAAGATCCAGGTGATTGTAATTGCGGTTGTTTTGGTGAAGGTGGAGCTGGTCCATTAGCTGAGCCTGGTGGAGATATTGGTTTAATTCCTGAAAACGGTGGGATTTCTCCGCTGGAAGATCCAGATGATTGTAATTGCGGTTGTTTTGGTGAAGGTGGAGCTGGTCCATTAGCTGAGCCTGGTGGAGATATTGGTTTAATTCCTGAAAACGGTGGGATTTCTCCGCTGGAAGATCCAGATGATTGTAATTGCGGTTGTTTTGGTGAAGGTGGAGCTGGTCCATTAGCTGAGCCTGGTGGAGATATTGGTTTAATTCCTGAAAACGGTGGGATTTCTCTGCTGGAAGATCCAGGTGATTGTAATTGCGGTTGTTTTGGTGAAGGTGGAGCTGGTCCATTAGCTGAGCCTGGTGGAGATATTGGTTTAATTCCTGAAAACGGTGGGATTTCTCCGCTGGAAGATCCAGGTGATTGTAATTGCGGTTGTTTTGGTGAAGGTGGAGCTGGTCCATTAGCTGAGCCTGGTGGAGATATTGGTTTAATTCCTGGAAACGGTGGGATTTCTCCGCTGGAAGATCCAGGTGATTGTAATTGCGGTTGTTTTGGTGAAGGTGGAGCTGGTCCATTAGCTGAGCCTGGTGGAGATATTGGTTTAATTCCTGGAAACGGTGGGATTTCTCCGCTGGAAGATCCAGGTGATTGTAATTGCGGTTGTTTTGGTGAAGGTGGAGCTGGTCCATTAGCTGAGCCTGGTGGAGATATTGGTTTAATTCCTGGAAACGGTGGGATTTCTCCGCTGGAAGATCCAGGTGATTGTAATTGCGGTTGTTTTGGTGAAGGTGGAGCTGGTCCATTAGCTGAGCCTGGTGGAGATATTGGTTTAATTCCTGGAAATGCGGAGATTTCGTTTTGACTTGTAGTTGGAGAAGGTTGTATATTAATAGATGGAAATGCTGGTAATGCAGCCGGTTGATTATTTGGCTTTGGTGAAGTAAGATTTGGAAATGGAGGAATTTCTTTTTCAGAAGTTGTACTTTTCGGCTGATTATCTGTTGGTGGGAATGGATGTGGATCTGCTTTTACAGGAGTTGGTGAATTAGCCTTTAATACTGGGAATGGAGGAATTGAACCAGAATTTTGGCTTTGAATTCCAGGGAATGCTGGTATCTGACCAGCAGATGGTTGGTTTGACATTGGTTGGCCCGGGAACGGCGGAATATTACTGCTATTTGTTGTTGGAGATGGAATTGGGAAGGGTGGTATGCCGTTACTTGCTGCTGGTTTAGGTGATAGTACGGGTTCTTCTGGTTTATTTGGTGTTTCTGATGGCTTCGGTTCATTTAACGATGAATCAGGGTTAAATGGCGGCATTTGTGGTGCATGATCCGGTTTCGGAGAAACAGGTTCACTTTTTTGTGGCATTGCAAATTGAGGAAAAGCCGGTATACTTGAATTTTGATTATTTGGAGATGGCGGTGGATTAAATGCTGCTATAGGAGATTTCGGAGATTTTTCTGGTGATGGTGAAAAAGCTGAGGCTTGATTAAGGGGTGCAGGTTTAATTTCAGAATTAAATGTGCTCACAGCTGGAGGTCTGAATGCTGAATTGTATCCACCAGTTGGAGGAGGTTTAAACGCGGGTAATTGCCCATTTGTTGCCTTTGGCGGAACAAATTGAGGCATTTGAGCTGAAGAAGTTGAACTAAAACCAGGAGCATGGAAACCAGATCCTCCTGGAGACTGAAACGGTGGTGCTTGAAATGATGGAAGTTGATTTGGTGGTTGCTTAGGAGGAGGCTGAAATGCCATTTAATTCAATTCGTATGAATTTTCTGTAAGAAATCCCTTTTTCATTTAATTCTATCGGCGCTTCGCGCCGATAGAATTAAGACAGTGTGTATATAGAGGACAACACAGTAACTTTTGACATTATGAATTTACAGTAAATAGGTAGTGTTGTAAACAGAAATTCATCAAAAGTGACACCTCAGAAAAGCTAAAATATTGAATTTTTGGAACTTTTGATAGAGCACGTTTTTAAATATTAATTAAAGTAAATGTATATTTTGTAAAGATTCTTTTTAATAAAAAAATAAAATTTTGAAGAAGAACACAAAATCTTCTGAAAAATAATATCACATAAACTCATATTATTTTCTAATATATAACTATTTTATATAAAAATCAAATTCAATGATCTTAAAAGCGAAGGATAAACCTCAAAATTTACGAATATAATGAGTGGGAATATAATGCTTATCTATCATAAAACCATATGAAATATCAATTTTTGCTTTACGCCTAATTTTTGACGACAATTAGCAAAAAATGTTAAATGTTAACACTCAGTCCATTTGAATATGAAAAATAAAATTGACTTTGATTAAATGTTTTTATTTATCATGCAATTCTTCTTGCGACCAAAGATTTGAATAAAATTTCAAAAAATAAGATAGCTTAAAAAATAATATACGGTAGTGTTTACTAATAGATGAATAGTATATAAATTCTATTAAAATGGATTTGATCCAAAAAAATATAAAACCAAAAATAATTGTTATAATTTAAATGAAGAAGTAATTTAAAACGATTTTATTTATGATCAAATTTTATATATTTTTTTGGATCAAATCCATTTTAATAGAATTTATATACTATTCATCTATTAGTAAACACTACCGTATATTATTTTTTAAGCTATCTTATTTTTTGAAATTTTATTCAAATCTTTGGTCGCAAGAAGAATTGCATGATAAATAAAAACATTTAATCAAAGTCAATTTTATTTTTCATATTCAAATGGACTGAGTGTTAACATTTAACATTTTTTGCTAATTGTCGTCAAAAATTAGGCGTAAAGCAAAAATTGATATTTCATATGGTTTTATGATAGATAAGCATTATATTCCCACTCATTATATTCGTAAATTTTGAGGTTTATCCTTCGCTTTTAAGATCATTGAATTTGATTTTTATATAAAATAGTTATATATTAGAAAATAATATGAGTTTATGTGATATTATTTTTCAGAAGATTTCATTCTATATGCCTATGAAAAGTACTCTCAAAACTAACTTTTTCCTAATTATAATTAAATCTAGAATATTGTATTATGCTTAGTATTATTTCATTTTTCTCATTCAATTTAGAATTTACAAATGTCAAAAAATTGAGAGCTGTCACTTTTGATGAATTTCTGTTTATTACAGGTAGGTCAATAAAAAATACGTTATTTCGCAAGAAAAAAAATTCTCATGAACAACTTCAAGCCGATTTTTCTCAGTAATAAAACTCCAAACTTCTCTTAATTGTGGAGAGAAATTGAAGTTTTCTTCATGCATAGTAGGGCTGTACAAGATTTAAAAAAACATTGCCGGGTTACCGTAGAGGCCTAAAAAAATCGCGCCTCGGCGGCAAGCCGCCTCGGCATTAAGAATGCGCATCTAAATTTTTATATGTCCTTCTTTCTTTTATTTTTTTCCTTCCCTTTCTTTTCTTTTTCTTTTTCTTTTTTTCCCTCCTCTTGCTCTCATTTAGCTTTTTTTTTCCTTTTCTCATCATTTTTCAAAATTTAAAATTTTTATCAAAAATCTTGCCTATAAAAGCAGACTATGGAACCTTTTAATGCCTCTTAATCAATATTATACAGCATAAAGCATATTAAATGAAAGTAATTACGTATAAATTTATTTTATTATCTTATTTATTAATTCTTTAGCATGTATTGTTTAATATTAACTTTTCTGTACATTAAATATGATATCTCCAAAGTATGAATGCCTTGTAACGAAACGAAAACTTAATTTTATGTTGAATATTTGTCGGGAAGAAACGTTTTTCCCGAAAAATAATCGTCTTTTGATGTTTTTCCCGAAAATCGTTCCGATCATGACGATAGACCCATAGGATATTGATTTTGGTATGAAGGAGTTGAATTTCACTTCTGAAATTGATATGATAGATAGCTCAGAACATATGAATATGAATTAACTAATCAAAATAGTATATTATATAAATATGCTAACTTAATTAAGATAATTTAATTGATATAAGGGAATTATAATACAATTTAAGTTAAGGGCATAAAATTCATAGGCTATATATTGCATCTGCCATCAATATTATGTTAAATTCAATAATTTTATAATGAGAATAAGATTCGAATCAAAAAAGTATCGCAATATGAAGTAAAATACTGGCGACTAGTTTCACATACTTATGATATATGATATATGACTGTGTTTATGGTTAAAAAGTAGTTTTATAAGTAGAATTTTAATAAAAGTAAATTTTTATTCATAATTTAAGAAATTAAACAAGGAAAACTCACTACTTCGAAAAATTTCATATGAGTGAGCTGCAAATTTGTAAATAAATCGCGAAATAAAAATAATATTCAATTGTATTTAAATTTTTTTATGATTTGTATAAGCAGATGATTTTAGTGCAGTAATTGATGTTTGAAAACGAAAAGCAATGCTTGGATTTGTAAATTGAAATATGAATCGCGAAAAACTCTGATTAGTAAGTAACACGCTTTTATATTTCGATAAAATTTATCGTCGATATACTAAATCCGATAAAAATTCGATAATTGTAAAAAATATGATGTAAATTGTAAAAGAGTTGAAAATGTTTGGGGTGGCTTGAAATGAATCGGAGGATGTAATAATTTGGTACTAATTTAATTGCATTAAAATGCTAAAATTATGAAATTGTAAATTTAATCGAAAGATATGAGTTTAAATAAAGAAACGAGAGATATTTTAATTGATTTAATTATTTTATATCACTGATTGTCAGTAATATCCTTTGATCTTTGATTCAATGAATACGTTAGTATGAATAATCAATATTCATTGAACAAAAATGAACAAATACAGTGTAATATGCCGATTTTAGTATGCAAATGTTATATCGTGTGATAAATTCTCCGTAATAAAGAAGATATTTACAATTATTTTTATATGAGCTTTAAATCTGTTGAAATAGTTCCAATATTGCATGAAATTGGCAGATTTGAAGTAATTTGATTAGTTTTGAGATGGAAAATTTCTAAAAAAATTCTGAAATCAAGAAAATATTTCGAAATTTTGTTAAAAATACTTTCAAAATGCTGAATTTAGAAAAAATTTGGAATTTCTTGATCCTAGAATTTTGATTAATTTTGTTAAATAGCTTAAATCATCAGTGATTTATGAAGTTTTGGATAAATTCTTAATCAATATTCATTCAATGAATTTGAGCAATAACACTGAAACAGTAAGGTTTACACATGAATTAAATGGAAAATAACCAGCATATCCTATAGAATTTCTATTTTTTTATCATTGATTTGAAATGCACTATATTAGAAATCAATATCTTTAGAAAATGTGCCATAATATTTTATTTTATCTTGAATATTGTTTATTAACATTATACTAGTATCTCTTCTCGATACGAATTAAAAGATTTAACGGATTGGCTATTAAACTATAAGATTGTTCAATCTTACTAGATAAGGCAATATATATATAAGTTAAGGAAACCTTAATTTAGTTAATATCTTTGATTTATACTAATTATAAATGAGTGAATTCTGGATTGTTCTATTTTTACATCCATCATTTAACACAATCTTTTTTGAACAATTTTATATAAAAGAGATCTATTATAAATGATTAAAAATGTCATTTAATTGATAAATTTGTATATCCTTGTCATGATATTGTTTTTCATATATAAAGCAGTTAACTATATGTAATTGATCTATTCCAATCTAGTTTTGATTCACAATCAAGAGTTAATATCTACTATTTACTATATTATCCATAATTTTAAATTAATGTTGAATAATTACCAAAAATATACATATAATATATATAAAATATGGAAAATTAATGGTTTGAGGTCAGGTATGAGGGGCTTCCAGGCACTTCGTGCCCTCTAGCCCTGAAGATGTTTAGTATAACTTTGTCCGGACAAGTAAGGGTCTATCGTCGCTACAGGAAAAGTTACAGGCGTTCCAAGGAAGTATACTTTGAGAAGACTTTCCCCCTTATAGAATGAGATAGGACGGTTATTTTACAAAACTGACAACACTTTGACCGAGTAGTTTTTTGTGCTGAACAAAAAGTGTCATATAAACATCTGTCAAAAACCGCTTTTTAACTTCACTTAAAATGCCACGTAAGCTACGTAAGAATATACGTAAGAGGAAGGGAGCATTGAAACATCCAATAGTAAAACTGACACCACAACAACAGTTGCAACAACAAATGCTGAATGACCCCACTATGTTGCAACAAATGTCAAGCACCCTATGCTCTTAAACCGAGTTCTTGGTGCACAGAGTGGAGGTTTAAGAGCGGCACTTTTAGCGAAAATGGCAGGCTATGGTGGAGCTGCAGACGGAACAGCTTATAACCCTCAAAGTCAAATGAATTTGAGTTCACTCAAAAATCAAATAACAGATGTCAAAAAGTCAAACATAGACATACAGAAACAAATAAGTGAAAACGAAAAGAAACTAGAATATGACAGACACACAAAGAAACTCAATGAGTTAAACGTAGAGAAAAAGAAGAAAGAAGAACAACTGAAAGAACTAAGTACAGAGGAATATGCGAAAAAAGTGTCAGAAAAAGCAGCAGAAGTAGCAAAAATGGAACAAGATGTCATAAATTTGAAAAACCATACTACTCAATATAAAGTACTGAAAGATGAAGAGATAAAACAAAAAGCCCTGAAGACATATATGGATAGCGATGAGTATAAAAAAGAAGTTGAAGCAAATGTAAAGGCAGAAAAACTTTTACAGTTGCAA